CTCGGCCTCGGGAGGGGGGCTCCCGGGGCGCTCCCTCGCTCGTCAGACGCTCCCTCGCTCGTCAGACGACGCCCCGTCCCTTGTGAGACGCTCCACCGCTTGTGAAACGACGCTGCACCACTCGCGAGATGCTCCGTCGCTCACGAGACTCTGTCTCTCGTGATGCTCCACCACTCGTGAGATGCTCCCTCACTCGTGAGACAACGCTCATCACTCATGAGATGCTCCTTCACTTGTCAGACTGCTCCATCACTTGCGAGATGCTCCACCACTTGTGAAACAACGCCGCACCACTTGTGAGACACTCCACCACTTGTGAAACAACACTCCATCACTCGTGAGACAACGCTCCACCACTCGTGAGATGCTCCACCACTTGGGAGACAATGCTCCATCACTCACGAGATGCTCCACTGTTCCTCACAGGCATTCCCACGATCACCGTGGGGAAGGGACAAGGGGCTACGTGGCCCTGCCAAGGGACAACGTGCTTGAGGTGCAGGCGTGGGCAGCCTCCTGGGATGCAGTTTGTGGAGCAGCTGGTGCAAACAGCCGGTGCTTCCCGGCCGCCTGCCGTGCTGGGAGCTGGCAGGCCCGGCTCCGGGCACTGACAGACATTCGGGACAATCTGAGTGATAACAAAGTTTTTCATCTGGCCGCCTGCAGCTCCCTCTGCACCGCCCCTGTGGCTGTGGGGAGGGGTATGGCCCTCGTGGGTCCCCTGGGTGCCGTGGGAAGCGCTGGCTCCTCGGCTGCGCAGAGAGGAGTTGCACACGCCGCTGGGACCGCCGGCGAGGCATGGCCGTGCTCGGCATGGGGCTCCGGCTCCCGCTGCGCCGGAGCGCCAGCTTCACCCCTGACCACCCTGCCCTCATGGAGATGCCTGGCCCCACTGCCCTGAAGATGGAAGCAAATGTCCTCGTTATGGGAGCGGACAACGTGGGGAAATCAGGTAAGAACCGACCGTGAGCTGGGAGCAGGGGGTTCCCGGGCAGGGAGACCCATTTCTCTCCCACGAAAAAGGCTGAAAACTGCAGCAGCCTTTGGAGAACATGCTGCAGAGAGCAGCCCCACAGAGCAAGCCGGTGAGATGGGGCTGAGCTTTTGGGTGCGGCCGTGATTCGAGGTGGGGAAGCCAAGCACAACCCTGTAGGCAGTGGGCAAGCAATGGGGGAAGGTATTTTCTGCTGAGCTATAGTTTGCTGATGCTCCAGTTCATGCTGTGCCTCTGCTCTGCTCACAGACCTGCTGGTGGCTGGGAGAGAACCAGAGGTCGTTCCTGCTAGTGGGACTTTACAGGAGGATGGTGCCTGACTGCTCTGCGTTGAAAAAGAAAAATCCTTCAGGTTTAGGTTTATGATGATGATTCTTATCCTTCCCTCTGCAGCTCTTACTGTGCGTTTCCTGACCCGGCGCTTTATTGGGGAGTACGGAGACATGGGTGAGTGCCAGGCCAGGGCCAGGCCAGTTCCCGTTAGGGACTGGAGTCAGGAGACGAGCCTTCTTCTGCCTGCAGGATTTCATTGCTTCCCATCCTCTTCTGCCTTTCTCCAGAGCCTTTGCCTGCTCCTGGGGGGCTTGATAGTTGTATTTGTTCAGTGACCCATCTCTTTGCTCCAGAACCGCTTCTCTGGGGTGCAAAAGGTCCTGGGTGGCAGCTGGTGGCACCAGTGTGCCCAGACTGAATGCTGGGGTGGAGGCAGGCTGGGGCAGTCACAGCTGTGAAGGCCACCATGCTCCATGTGGTTGTTGCTGTACAAAAAGAGCCCCCGGACCTTGCCTTGTGGAGCACGGTCTCCCAGGGTGAACGTGACAGGCTTGTCCCCAGGAGGAGAAGACCTGGGTTGAGGGAGCTATCTCTTGGGTCCATGAAGATGATGATTTTTTTTTTTTTTTGGCAGAATTCATCTACAGCCACAACCTGACTGTGGATGGCCGAGAGATTCTCTTCCACATCTGGGACGTCCCCAGTTCCCAGGTGAGAGGTCTCCACTCCTGTCACCCGTTTTCACCCCAGGACAAAAAAAATTCTACTGAAAGTTACTTCTGGGGAGCCACAGGCTGGAAGCTCCAGCTGAGTAAAGCTCTCACGTCAGATGGTTTGTAGGCGACCAAACCCTTCTTGCCTGCAGAGCACAGGGCAGCAGCGTTGCTGGCAGGGTAGCCATAGTCACTGTAGCCCATGGTCCTCTGGCTGAGGACATTAGAGCTGAAGCACTGATATTACCAGCCCAGACTGAGCACAGGACTGTGGTAACGAAGTGGAAGTGCCGCTCTGAGGTCCCCACGCTGTTATCACCTACAGCCTGCAGTGCTTGGCAGCTGGGTGATAAAGTGAGGACAGTGATGCTGAGCCTGAATCGTGTCCCCTTGGTGAGGTCTGCCAGGAGCTGCTCTGCCTTCCTCAGTACTCTTCTTTCTCTCTGTGCCCTTTTGCTGCTCACTAGCCATCCCTGTCCTGACAGGCTCAGGATTGCTGCACCCTGTGCTAGCAGGCAGGCGTGGAGGGAGGGAATAGATAAAAAAAAAACCCTTCCTTTTCTCTTTCCCCAGGAGCAGGCAGAGGAGGGCTCCTCAGAGGAGAAGCGAATCCAGTGGGCAGACAGCTTTGTCCTGGTCTACAGCATCTGCGACCGTGCCAGCTTTAACATCCTGCCCCTCAAGATCCAGTTCATCAAGGCAGCCAAGGAGGGGCAGAGCCAGGAGAAGGTGCCCATCGTCATTGTGGGCAACAAACGGGACCTGCACCACCAACGGGTGGTGTCCAGCGAGGAGGGTCGGCTCCTGGCCCTCTCTTTAGACTGTGGTTTCTACGAGGTCTCTGCAGCCGAGGCTTATCACGGGGCCCTCATGGTCTTCCATGGACTGGCCGAGCGCATCCCTGACACCAAACTGGCACTGAAAAAGGGTACGGGGATCCGTGGCATCGTCAAGACCATGTCGGCCGTGTTTGCCCGTAAGCGAACAGACTCTCTCTGAGCTATGGCATGGGTGTTGCTTCTCTCTGTGCTGCCCGGCTGGACCAAGCTTCCTCCCTGGCTGCCCATGGAGATGGCATGTGTGTTTCCATAACCATGGTGGGTGGGTTCCTTGTTGTCCTCCTAATGTCGGGGTCTGGGTGTCCTGCCATATACAGCCAGTGCAGCCAAGGACTGTAGTGCCTTCCTCTTTGGCCCCATGATGGGGCAGAGGCTCTACTCTTTGCTGTACCAGCTTTTTAGGTGCCTCCTGCTTTCTCCTTCAGTCCTTCAACACTGGAAACCACCAGGTGATTTTGCCACAGCTCCAGGCAGCATAATGCCCAGCTCCTTTGGCAGGAGCTGCCAGGGCTCTCAGTGAGCAGGGAGGACATGCCGCTTCTGCCTGGCTGCCTGGCTCCCTGTCCCCCCGCTCCTACCCTGGGATCCTTATTCCTGTTTCACGCTCATCAGGGTGCTCTCCGGTAATGCTGGAGCACCCATGAGCTGGCAAGGTGGGGGTTTCTCCGCCAGGGAGCCACTGGCAGTTCCCACATGTGCATCACGGTGTCAGAGTGTCCCAGAGCCTGTGGCACCAGCTGACCCCAGAGGACCTTGGTGAGGGCTGACGCCTCCCATCCCACCCGCCTTGCTTTTGAACTGTCCTGCTCATGTCTTCTCTCCCACAGCCTTTCAGCGATCGCAGCCGTTTCCCTTGTGCGAGCACTGTACTGGCTGTGCCTGGGAAAAACCAGACGTGTGGCTCGTTCCCAGGATGGGGATCGCACCGTGCGCCTTCCCAAGCTGCTCCTTCTGTAAGGCTGCCTGTCCCCGGGGAGGAAAGGAGGTGGGGAAAGGGATTGCTGGGCTCATCGCCTAACCCTTCTGCTGCTGGGAGGTTTTTCCCTGCCTTTCCCCAAACCCTTCCCCTCTTGCGCCTGGGAAAGCGGTGTGTTGGAAGAGGGTTTGTGTGTGTGGTACAGACACGGATTTCTCTGCTGCGTTCTTCTGGAAATGCAATAAATCATCTTTGGCAGGAAGCCCCCTGCTCCTCGGGGCTGTGAATTTGTACTCAGGACATGGGAAGAGACACGTACTCTGCTGGGCATGAGCAGCCACCGTCCCTGCGGCAGCAACCCGAGGATGAGTTTCCCGCTCCCTCGGCCCTGGGTTGGGTGTCTTTCCCCACTCTGCTGCCTCATTTTGGTGGCTCACTCCCATAAAGCAGCCAAGCAGACGTGGTAAGCGGCAGGTCAGGAAGGTTTATTACTGCAGCGGATACAACAAGGTGTTGCGGGAAGCCAGGCGGTCCTGCGGAAGAGTGAGGGTCCAGGAGCTCCACCTGTTCTCACCAGTCTTCTTCCTGACCCCACCATCCATCCCACCATCAGCTGGGGTGGGTGCCCAGGGCTTTTGACTCCTGAGTCCTGCTGGTCGGTGGGGACTTTCAGCTCCTCCATGGAGGAGCAATCTGTGGCCAGGGATGGGCCCTGTAAGGGGCGATGGAGCGTAGGAAGGATGGGGAACTGGGCTTGCTACAGTGATGTTTGATGGCTTTGCTGTCCAACCTGCTCTGTCTCTGCACTGTTCTCAATGTGTAGCCCATCTAAATCCATGCTATCTGCTCAACAGGGACCAGGGTAGCCCAGTGCCAGGCCTGGCTGGTCCCTTTTTCTCTTTTCTGGTCTCACCGTTGTTTCTGTGTCTCCTTTACCTCTCTGGTCCCACCTCCCCCTACCTTCTTCCACCAGCAGGGCTTTTGGCTGCCTTTATTCCCCCATCCTGGCCCTGATGCACTCCAGAAGAAGACATCTCATGGCACGTCTACCACTTTGAGCTCCTGTCCTGATACAGGGGTGCATGCAGGTGGCTGATGGGGGCCTGGGCAAAGCGTGCTGTGGGGGGATTAGAGGGGGACTGGGATGCGCTCATCCTCCCCACCAGGTCAGTCCTTCTTGAAGGCAGGACTGTAGAGGTTGGTGTAGTAAGCCCGGCTGTACATGGCCTCAGGGCTGAAGCGGTAGGAGCCCTCGCTCACCCTCCTGTTGTAGGGGGCGAAGGCGGATTTCCGTGGGAGGGGGCACTCGGGCTCGAAGGCAGGACTGCGGTAGAGGTTGTGCCGCAGAAAGAGAGGGTCCTCGAGCCCCAGGAAGGAGAGGGGGTGATGGCCGCGGTACAGCCGCCAGTCGCCCCTCAGCTGGGATTTCTCCTCAGCGGAGGGAGCGGCAGGCTTGGCATCCTCCTCCTTCTGCTCCTTCTCCGGGCTCGGCTTGCTGCCTGCAGCTGCCTCCTCTTCCTTCACTGACTGCCTGCGGAGCTGAGAGATGGGGTGAGCACCCGGCCAGGCTGTACCCACCCGCCAGCCCTGCTCTCCGTGTGCTACACAGCCCCCCCAAAACCGGGGGAACCTCAGGACAAGCCAATTTGCCCCCAGAGAGGTCCCCAGCAGAGGGGAGTGGGTGGCTGTAGCCCCTGGGCAGCTTGTGGTGGAGAGATGGTCCCAAGGGAGCAGCAGAGTGGGGGAAAGGAGAGGCGACATGGTCTCAGCCTGAACTTTCACCTTCCCAGGAACTTGTGGTCGCACCCTGGCTTGGGCATGAACTGTGTGAAGGTGCCACTGCTGGCTGACCTGCTGGCTCTATGGGGGGACTCGCTGTCACGGCTTGGGGGGATGCTCAGGAGGAGGATGGGACTGAGGTGTCCTGACAGCACCCATCTCACCCCTCTAGTACCTCCTGGCACTGCCTGGAGCTATGGGGTGCTGATGGGAGGAGCGTGGGCAAAATGGGGTTTGCTGGAGATGGACGGGACCCGGCTGGGGACAAACTCACCGGCACGTAGCTGTACAGGGTGCCCAGCAGATGCTTGGGGGCACTGACGAGGGTCCCCCCGAGAGCATCCATCGTCTCCATGGCCTTGGATAGCCTGCGGGGGGTGAAGAGGATCAACCCCTCCGCCGCGTCCCAGGCCACGGCCGGGACCTTCTTCACGCTGGAGATGCCCGAGGCGCAGGCAGTTTGCAGGTTGTGAGCCATGCTGCCAACCAGCCCAGGGTCGTCCCCTGCCTGCAGAGAGAAACCAGCTCAGCTGCTGGCCCCGGCCCCACCAGACCCACCAGGCAGGACAGGGGTGGCCCTGGGCTCCCCATCCCCTCCACAGCTTAAAGCCTGAGTGCTTCGGCTCGCTGCTTTGCAAAAGCCACTGCAGCCCTTTGCAGCAGGGTCGCTCCCTGTCCCCCCCCGACTCCCCCCACTCCCAGGCCCCTGGGGACCCTCTGCCCCGGGCTGTGCTTCCGCTGCAGGCAGAGGTGAAGGGCAGTGACCCCGACCTGCCGCTTCCCATCCCCACGTCCCAGCGGAGCCATTCCCAGCCCCACCAACTCACACCACCCCTCCCTGCTGGGACCATGGCGGGGGATTTTTCGGGGGTGTTCAGGGGCTTGCTAGGGAGCTTGGTGCTGACACCCCACAGCAGCAAAGAGGTCTTGAACGTAAAAGCCAGGGTGACCCTGCTAGGCGCAGAGGCTGCCCCCAGCCCCCAGCTTTGGGGATTCAGGGAAGGGGGCTGCTGGGGCTGCCCCCTTGCCAACCCCCCTCGCCTCCTCCAAGCTGCAGTTCAGGGTTCAGCAGAGATGGGGGCCTCGTTCCCAAGGGTGTTGGGGGAACATCCCCCATGCTGGCATGGCCCATGGGCAGGAGGATGCTTTGGAGTGCCCCCAGTTTGCTGCCCCCCTTTTCTCCGTACTTCCTTGGTGTGGTTGTTGTCTTTCTTCCCCGCCTTCTCCTGTTTCTGCTCTGGCACCTTGCTCTGCCGCCGGCTCAACCAGCCGGCCGTGGTGCTCTGCCCATCACTGTGGAGCCGTGGCGCTTCAGGTACGCTTGGCTTGGCCAGGTTGCCCTGGAAAAGGAGCAAAAAGCCACCACTCGCAGGGAGCTGGCAGGTCCCATCCACTGCATCCTGCTTAGCCTGAGGATTTCACGGGGGGCCCTGGGGTGTGTAGGCAGCAGAGGGTTTCATTTATGCACATGGGAAGAAATACTGAGGGCAGCTGGGAGCTCTGGGATTTTGGCACTAGTCAGGGAAGGGATTCCCACCACAGTGCTGGATGGGAGAGGAGAGGTGCCTCCTTCTCCCCAACTTCTCTGGGCCTCTGCAGGGGCTTTTTGCTTTAGGAAGGATGTTATGGCAAGACCATAAATTAACAATATATATTGGGAGCCGGCTAAAAATAACTTGTCCCACTAATACAGTACAAGGTTGTGTGTGAACATGCCATGGGAACCACCAGCCCTGGCTCATCCTGCTGAGTGGGGGAAACAGCAGCACCCACAACTCTGCTCCTAGGAGCATGAAATGCCTCATCCAAAAGCAGAATCAGCCCAAAAGATGGTATGGGGGAGCAGGAACCTGGCAGGTGGGTTTTGGCACTCACCAGGATGGGGATCCAGGTAGCCAGCTCCTGCCCTTTGGCTTTGGCACGCTGGAGGCTTTGGGTAGTTTGTTGGTAAGCGCGGTGGGAGACGGTACCAACCAAGGCACTGATCCGGCCCAGGGTACTGGGAGCACTGGGAGTGCTGGACTGCTGCTGGGAGACCTTTGCTGCTGACTCACATGTCTCTTTGGGCTTCTGATCTGAAGGCAGAAGAGCACAGGCAGAAGAGCAGCGGGGGGGTTATGTCTGGTGGGACAACCCTCCTAGGCAGCCCTACACCAAAATCTAGGGGCTTCCTCCTGCCACGTGCACCCCACGAGTGAGGTGCCACCCCGCGTACTGGCAGTCCATGTCATACAGCCTCAGAGGTGATTTGGGCATCAGGACTACCTGCTTCTTCGTCCTCCTCTGGCAGCAGGTACTCCATCAGCTTCTCCAGCCCTCCCAGGGCTGTGTCGACCCCTGCGGCTGCCATCTGGCTCACCGAGTTCCTCCTCGTGTACCTTGCCGTCGTTTCCACCGTGCTCTTGGTGGCCTCGTAGCCCTCTGCTGCCAGCTCTATGATCTTATCCACGGAGTTGCCAATGGTGCTTTTGGCACTTTGGAGGGGGGAGGAGATGGTGCCCTTCAGTTCAGATGCAAGCTGCAGGCGGAGAGACGGAGAACAGCCCTGCCGGTGTGCTTGGGGTGGCATGGGACAGCCAGCGGGACCACGGGGACCCCAGCCATGCCAGTAGACAGCCCCGAGAGGGGCATAACAGCACTCTCCAGCCTGGGCTGGAGGTAGCTGGCAGGGTTGGGACACAGGATGCTGTTGACCTATATTTGGGAGCACCCCAACCCTCGCCTGGGCTGCAGGAGCCCCTGGAGGAGCCCTTGCTTGGAGGCGCTGCCTTGTTTCCCCCCTCAGCAGCTCATCACCATCCAGAAACAAGACCAGAAGAGACATGCTGTGGGCTCTGCAGAGGGGCTGGGGGGGTCCCAGACTGTCCTGCCTGTGACTTACCTTGTCGACAGGGTACTGGAGGGCAGGGATCTTCTCCTCCAGGTGGTCCAAGCCCCGGCATGCCAGGTCGTTAGCCACAGCAACTGCCTTGGGCAAAAGCATGGGGTGGGTTGGTAAGAAAAGCTCACGGGCTGTGCTAGGCACTTGCTAGTGCCAGCGCTGTCCCACCAAGAGAGGCTCTGGTGGGCTCCCCCCGCCGTGTCCCCCCCGGTGGATGGACTCACACTGAGGCTCCAGCCTGCGCACCACGGGCTGCACGCTCCACATGGCCAAGGCGCTGGCACCCTGCACGCCCCGCTCGTAGACCTCGCACACCGAGGCCATGAGCGGGTGGGCCTCCTTGGTGCTGGCGTAGGTGCGCTGGAGGCTTTCGCAGGTCGAGCTCACCACCGGCAGCTGCAGGACCCTCTGCAGCACGTTCTCCTGCGTTTGCAGACGGGCATCGGTTAGCCAACAGCCCTTCCCCGAGGAACGCCTCATCGTCCACACACTGGTGGCATTTGGTGTGTTGCAGTGACCACAGAGGACCTCAGCTCACGCTGGAGGAGGAGGGCATTTCTCGAGCCCCATTGAGGGTCTCCCAGCTACGTTTCATATGGCACAGCCGTGGACAAGCAGGCTGGCTGCTGCCGCTGATGGAGCAGGGACACCACAGGCAGTGTTGGAGAGGTGACGGTCCCCACTCCCCCCATCTCCCAAGACCGACTGTCCAAGTGCTCCTGCTGGCTTTCCACCCTGCTCTGCTGCTTCTTCCACCTGACCCAGCCCTTGCTCCTGTCATTGGGCCAGCAAAGACCAGTGCCTTTGTGGCACCTCTGTCCTGTCTGTCTTGTCACCACTGTGACAAGTAAGGGACACGGACCTCAAAAAGGAGAAGGGGAGAGGAAAGGAACAGGTCTGTCCCTGAGGGCGCACAGGTCTTCGATAGGAGCCATTGCTCTAAGAAGAGGGCACCAGAGCTCTCCAAGGCAGCAAGGCACCACGTCCCCACCCCCTGCTAGCACGGGAGACGTGGGATGCCAGTATAAACCAGCACAGCTGACACCTGTGTGTGCTGCCAGTGCCAGAGCACAGCTGGAGGTAGGTCCCTCAAAGCTGGGTGAGCAGGATAAACCTGCAGCTTCAACCCTCTGCTCCTGCTCTTGCCTGGTGCCCACCTGGCGAGGTGAGACAACTGAGAGACATTGCAGCCCCAAGGGAGGACTGAGGTGAATGTTGGCTCATCACAGAAGCCATGAGGCAAGAGCTCTCTGGGTTGCCCAGGACAGAGCAGAAGAAGCAGCTGAGCTTTCCCCTGATCACCAGTGGGCGAGAGGCCGCGTTTGGCTTCATGTCCCACTTGTGACCATGACTGGGCTGTGAATCTGCATATTTGAGAAAACCTGTATTTTTTGGTGCTATATTATGCTAATTTTGGCTTGACACAGAGCAAGTCCTCGCACAGTTCAGCAATCCCGGGGGCTCTAGCTGTTCAGAGCAGTGATGCAACCACAGCAGCATGATTGCTGGAGCTTTGGGGTCCACAGTAGGGACACAGATGAAGGACAGGCACTGCCAGCAGGTATCACCGAGAGCTCCCATCAGCTCAGGGTTAACTTTCTTGATTCTGAACTATTTAATTTCAAGCAAGCGAAGGGTTTTATCCTTTCCCTTTGATGATGCTTTATATTATTGCAAGTAAAGATTCATATAAAGATAAGAGGGGGACACATGAGACCGCATGAGATGTGACTCATAGTCATCCAGCAGAGCCAGTACACGCTACCTGGCGCCCTTGGCACACGTCTTTGCCCTCCCCTCTCTCCCTCTTCCCGCACCCACCTTGGCACTACCATTCTGCAGAGTCTGATTCTTCTTCACTGTCATCGTGACGCATCCACCTGCAAAGCAAAGTTGGGAGCCGCAGACCCTGCTGCGAAGGCAGGGCTGGCCTCAGGCTCCCCCCACTCACTCCTGCGCTCCCCCCGAGCATGGTGGTGCTGGGAGCTGGGCTGAGACACACACCTCCCCTGGGTACAATGGATGCGGCATTGCCTAATGCTTGACTTTTTACCGGTTAAGCTGTAAGACTAATGACTCCACACAGCCCTCCCCTGCTAGTGTGTCTTAACACCCAAAGATGCAAAAAATTAGTTGAGAGGCATCTAGTTTGAAGGAGCTACAGTACAAATCAGGATAAAAGGCACTGGCAGAGCTGTAAAGCAAACTCAGAGCAACCAGGATGCTCATAGATGTGCATGAGGGCCAGGCTGAGAGATGCAGGCTGAGAACGGGTAAGAAGGCAGGACAGGAGCAGAGAGAGGAGCTGCAGGTAGGGATGCAGCGAGCTGCCCAGCTGCAGTCAGCATCCCCCTCCCAGACACCTGCAGGCAGCTCTGCCCCTCGCAATGCCAGCGCCCGTCCCTGCACAGCCCCAGCCAGTTGCGGGGGGCAAAAGCACTGTGAAACACCCGTCTCCACTGCTCCTGGCTGGGTGACACCTGAAAGCACCACTCCAGCTCCCAGCCCCAGCACAGACTCCCTTTTCTTAGCAGCAGATGAAATTCAGGAGATTCAGGGAGAGCGGGTGATCCTTGCTCTCACCCCCCCCCCGCCCCGGTCCCGCTGAAGCTGTCCCTGGAGCGCCCGGTGGGGACCGGCTACTCACCAAGGGGCAGCCCGTCCCCGGCAGAGCAGGAGCAGAGAGTGGTGGCTGCACCGTCCCTTCACCCAGGTCCTCTGAGAGTGATGCACCGTGCCCCTGCCACTACCACCACGAGGCCCCACCTCCCAGTTGCATGGGTTTGGGAGCTGGCGGGTTGTGGTGGAAACTGGCCAAAGAGCTCCCTGAAGCCACTGTAATTTGGAACAGATGACGGCAGAAAATCCCTTTTGTCGTCTTCTCTGCAAAGCCCAGAAGCTGTGGCATAGCTGGGATGCACCAGAGTTTAATGCCTCTCCACCAAGAGAAGATGAAAAGAAGCTGCCCTTGGACCTCACCACCTCAAAAGCAACAGATCATGAACAGCCAGGGAGAAGGTGAAGAGTCAGGCAGGGTTTCCTAAGAGATTAAAACCTTCCTGTATTTCTGTAGCCCCTGTTATGCCCTGTGGTGGACCAGGATCCTATCCTGTTGGGAAACGCAACACAGACCAAGAACAGTTTCTCCCCAGAAGAGTTTACCAAGTTTACAATAGTTTAGAGTTTACAATGAGCAGAAGGCAGGCATGGGGGACATGTCCTGCATAAACCAATCTGGTTTGGCCAGGTCTGCAATTTCTAAGAGAATTCATGGAGGGTTTTGGCGAGGAGGCTTTTAGCTGAGGGTCAGGGTAGACACTACATTAGGAAAGCTCTAGGCATCTGGAGTAGACAGAAATGGAAGAAAAAATCAGGTTGGAAGTGATCTCTGGAGGTCACCTCATCCAACTCTTGCTCAAAGCAGGGCTACCCCTGAAGCTAGATCAGGCCGCTCAAGGTCTCATCCAGTCTTGAAAATCTCCAAGATTAAGATTTCCCTCTCTCTGGGGCCCAGCTCCTGTGCTAAACATACTCATGGTAAACTATTTTTTCCTTATATCCAGCTGGAATTTTCTCTGTTGCAATTTGTGCCTGCCATCTCTTATCCTTGCTCTGTTCATCTCTGAGCAGAGTTTGTGCTCCAGTCTGCGCTGGTACGGCATGTGATCCATGCCCCTAAATGTCTTTCTTACCCTCTCAGTGATCTTCTGCTGGACTCTACTCAAGATCTTTCCTGTGCTGCTGGGGCCAAAACCGTTCCCCAAATGTGGCTTCACAAGTGCTTCATAGAGAGGAACAACTGCTCCCCTTGACCTGCTGGCAACGCTTTCACTACTGCTGCTCTTTTGTGGCCAGCCTGCCTCACTGCATGGAAAGCACTCTGCTGACTCACATCATAATTAACAAATCTGTTTGCAGTATTGATTGAAAAGAAAGAAGACACCACCTGTATGGAGCTACGATTAGGTTTTGGTTATTGACTATGGAGATTAAGGATGAGCTACACACATGAGACAAGGACAACATGGTGGAAAGAGGACAAATGCCGGAGAACAAAGCAATATCCAAGGGGATCAGTCCAGATGAGTGATCCAGGCAGCCTGCTGACACAAGGCTGCTGTGTGTCTTGGACCACCCGGCATAAGGCAGGGAGACCCTTGGCGTGTGACTCGGCATCAGGGGAGGCCCAAGCAGCAGAGCCAAGTCCTTGAACACCCGCAGGTGTTCCACCCCTGTGCAGGACAAGGAGGTGTGCACCCAACACGGCTCCATGGCTCCCTGCTCCTGGCTGTGCTGCTCATACACGGGGGTGGGAGACTTCCCAGGGACCTGGGAAAGCCACGCATGGGAGGAAAATACCCCCTTTTCTCCCAAAGAACCTGGAGTTCGCTTCCAGCCTGGGGCTCTGCAAAACTCGCAGACCTGCCTTGCTAGCTGGGTGCGGAGGCATATGAATATCCTGGGCTGTCTCCAGCTCGGTGGTGGGGTGAGTCACTGCTCTCCAGACAGCGGGACAAAGGGCAGCAGCAGCCTGCTCAAAAGTTTGCTCTCTTGGCACTGAGACTTTTTCCAGCCCTGCTGGCCTTGCTAAAAGCGCAGGGGCCATGCCAACCTTCTCTCTGCCTTGGCCGGAGTTGGGATCAACAGACAACGCAGCCTTTGCCCTACTAAAGCCTTCGCTCACCCCATCCCCTTCCTCCGGGGCAGAGGCTGTGCCAGCCCAGGGCTCTGCAGTGCAAAGGTACCACCGCCTCCACCCCCCCACACCAGAAATACTTTCTGTGTTTCTGCAGGCAACATTTAGAGCTCACTGGATCAGCTGGGTGCAGGGAAGCAGTTTTACACCCTTGCCTCTGCAGTCTACTCCATACCCATTAATATACCATGGTGAGGGGATGAGCCAGATCCCCAAAGACCTGCAAGGCATCTTTACATTTAGATCTGGGAGGGGGCTGGAGAGGTAACTAATTCATTTCTATGCCCTATGGCAGGATCAGCACCCCCTAAATCACTGCTGGCAGATGTCTGTCCAGTTTCTTTTTAAGGACTGCTTTCCTGAGCAATCCATTTAGTCTTTTATTTTACTCACGGTTCAAAAAAAAAAAAAAGTGATTTAATTCTCCTTTGCTGCAATATAAATGTATTACCTCCTGGATGGATTCAGAGACCAACTGATTGCCTTCCTCTTGGCAGACAACCTTTTAGACGCTTCAAGACTTCTCATACCCTCCCCCAGTCACCTTTCCTCTACAGAACCGGTTCATTTGGTCCCTCCCTGGAGATGTTGGTTTTCAGACCTTTGATCGTTCTTGCCATTTACCTGGGAATCCCAAATTCGCATTTCTTGAAATACGCTAAGCATGGTATTAACATTAGGAAGGCCTTGTCTGTAAGTAGAATAGAAGATGACTTTGCACATCTCACACAGACCACTCACCTGTTAAGTTTCCATTACGAAATGTGTATGAGACCAGTAATTCAGAAGGAAACTCTTGCTAAAATGTTGCTGAATGCAATGCTTTATACATTGTTCAGGAACTGACATTTTGGAGCTTCCAAGTTTGCAAGGCTCTTACTGCAGGGGATAGGAGCTAACAGTAAGCTCGGTTTTAATGGTTGTCCCGGCTCCATCCCTCCCCATCTCAGCTGGAGATGTTACCCTTCACTCCCTGCCCTGAACAGACATTTGTTGTTAAACAGCTGCAGCGATTTGCCCTATGACACTAAGACCCATCCAAATGAAAGGTTGTTTATAAGATACTAAAATGCAGCTACACCCGTTCCTTTCACTGTGGCTGTGCCTACATTGGGCAGAAGGCTCCAGCTCTCTCCACTGGTACTCAAGGGCAACTGATGGCAATTCTGAAAAATGCCATTTTGCTTCAGGACATGTCATATGCAGTTTTACCATGTACTCACATATTTACTTCTTCACGTTTTTGCAACTGAAACGGGGATGGCCAATGAATCTCACGAATCTGGCTGCCACCTTGCTACTGCGAAAGGACAGCTCTATAACCCAAGAGCAAATATAGGAGCTGTCTCTTTAACAGCATCATCCTTCATAAAATTCAGAGATCAGAGGGAGGATTCCTCCTTCGGCATCTCTTTTCCCCACCCTTTAAGTCACACACAGACACGGTGTCACACTCATCTCAGTTTATTGCTTGTGTTCAAACAGCTGTCCTTATTTCAACTGCTGTATTAGAAACAAACAAACAAACAAAGGCACTGAAAGGATTTTCTCCATATGATCGTGATTCTGTGGCTTCAGTCACATTACATTAAGGTATATTAAATTGCTAGCCTCCAGCTGGGATGCAGAAGGCAAGTATTAGTGCTTAACATCCAGTAAAGAGAGTTAATCCTCTAAGTTCCAACCCACATCATGTAGAATGGGACAGGTAAGGCTGAGAGAGGCTGAAAATTCACTGCCCCATCTCCCACATGAAGTCCATACTTGCTAATCCATGCCAGTGCCTACAGAAGAAACATCAAAGCCTGGCTCATGGCTTTGCACAGTGTCTGCCTGGCACAAGGGAAAAACCTACTCTTCTCCCTCCACAGGGCACAGGGAGGTGTAGCTGCCTAGGGGCCACGTCACTATATTAATTCATTTCCCTTTACCTATGAAGTACAAGAGAAAAAGACAAATCAGTTCACAAACCAGTGAAAGAAGTATTTTGTGTCCGACAGCTCCCCTGAGAGGAATTCAAAATGCATTTTTTTGCAAGAAGATGAAATTCTGTAGAAAAAAGGTAGCCAAACCTCTGCTGCCAAATCTTCAAGACTCCTCTTCCTTCCTTACAGGGGTTGCTACACACTGGGGTCATGATCAAATCTGACCAAGGGAGGGGTAGGATCCACATTGCCAGGAGCTCAAAGGCAAATGGAGTAAAGAAACAAAAAACCCCATTGTTGAAAAGGAGAGAAGGCCCTTGAAGACAACATATCCCATACATAATGCTCCATTATAGTCTGAACCACCAGTATGCTCTACTTTTAATGGTATTCATTTCTATATGAAAAAGAAGAGCTGCTGCAGGCCACATTTGGTCTTCAAGCACACTTAATTACCCTGCCCAGCAATCTCTTTTCTCAAACACTTCATTGGCACGCTAACACTTCAGATTCAAACTAGAAGTAATTCCAAGCCCGACCACAATGACTTAAGGTAAACTGGGGCACTGCCTTACCGTGTCTACTCAATTCCACAGCCTTCACCTTTTAATAGAGACCAACACCTTTTAATTTCTGTTTCCAGACAGCATCAGAAATAATAAGAGAGTACCTTAGTCCAGGTTAGCGTAGTCTCTGTTCACATCTCCTGACAGATTAATCAAGGAGTCCTTGTACCAGAAAGTAGCAGAACACACAGGCCTAACTCTGATGAAGAAAAATGATAATTTTTTCTCCTATATAATGTGCAAATTTTTCTCAGGTGGTGTCAGAACTGGTACTCTGCAAAGTCAGGAGCAACAAAGACTGCATGCCATGTTAGTCAGCTGGACACAGCATTTCTCCTTTAACCTAGATTACACTGCCAGGCAATCATTCCCAGCGAGGTAAGTGATGAGCAATAATGCAGTTGCAGGGCAAATGTAAGGCATTTTCAAATGGTAGAACCCATTCAGCCAGCGAGGGAACACACATGAAATCTTGTGGCCATGAGAGGGGAGGATAGGAAAATCTAAACCATGAATGCCCAAATCCAGTAATAAGCTTTCCTTCTCACAGGGGATTCTTATATTATCACGACCAAGTCCATTCCCTTCCCTCCGGGAGCTTACACAACTAGAACACACCCTTGCAGTTTTTCTGACTCAACGAGCTCTGAGCCCAGCTTCTCTCCTTAACTGCAGGTTCCAAAGCTCCTTATTATACTGGAATTTTTCACATAAAATTAAAACAGCAAAACAAGCTCCTTATCACAGTACGATTAATGGAAAATCATTGCACTTGGAATCACAGGGGTTTGGGAATTAAGGTGCGTGTGTAATGGGAAATTCAGTGCTTGTGAGTGATTCCAGATTCACAGCTTTGGAAACCCAGTTCCCTAGAAATCACAGCATCATCAGCACTCAGACAAGCTTCTCCCACACGCTGTCCTTCACCAAAACCCTCAGCCATGGCCTGCTGAAGAAGTCAGAGCTGGTGGCCAGTGGTCCTTGGCTCACATTATCGAAGGAAAAGAAGAAAGTGCTGATTTCCTGGGACACAAACTGGCACTCGCTGGACTACAGATCCAGTGTCACCAGTGCACATTACAGAGATCATCGGAAGGTCAGATCATACCTCTCTTCAGTTAGCATCACACTGCATTCAAACCACTGCCTACAGGTAACAGGATCCACCAACCCAAACCCATCAGAACACTCGTGCTTGACTTCAGGCCATTTTAACCACAGCTTCTAACTTGCCTGAGCCCAATATAGAAAATCTGACTTTGATGGGTGAATTCCAGCTTTCCAGTGTAAACATGATTAGTTATGAGTTATATACCTATTACAGTTGTCTATGCAGCTATTTCACAACCCTGTGTTAAAATATAGGAACATCAGTATTTCCTTATCTAGCAGCCATGTTCCAAGTCCTGTTTCTCTTTGTGAAATATTACTCTGCCTTCTCCCATCTCCACTCCATCAGGGAGTGTGTCATAGCACCAAACTCATCTGCAAAGACATGGGGAAGGAAAAAGGGTAGAATTCACTTATTCAGAGGACAAAATTAATCTTGAGGTTACTGTGAGACATGTTCATTTTGAAAGTGCCATATGGAGGATAAAAACCTATCAGATGATCAAAGATCACTGCATACTATGCAGCTCCTTTTATGTCACTGTTTCAGCTTCAGCTGTGGGCTTGCTATTGTGAGGATCCCCACCAGGGAGGAGAGGACGCCACAGAAACCAATCACTCCTGGGTTGGTCTTGCAGATCCCTAGCGTATCCAAAGGACCTGAGAGATCACAGAGATTCTTCACCAAGTCCAGCAGCAAAGGAGGATGTCTTTTCAGTATCTGAAACAGCAGGAGGAGAAAACCGTGCAAACCATCACATCTCACACGGTTTAGTTCCTGATTGTGTTTGTCCCAGAAGGAATTCTCCTTTGTCTTTTCTTCCTGTACAGCTTGTTCCAGCCTCCAGGAGATCTCATACCAGTCCCTGGCTAGATTCATCAGGAGTGAAAAGTAGTAACACTTGGTAGCCCAATTCCGCCACTTCAGCTTATCGACATCAGGTCGGAGCCCAATGCTTTTCAACCACAGGACAGCATCGCAGACGAAGTAGAGGGCACGAGTCAGGTTGGAGGCTGTAAGGCAGAAGCGAGGAACCACATCTGGCAGCTGTGTAGTTCTCCTGGCTGCTACCAAGGCATGTACCATGTTGCCCAGTCTGAACACTGCGAGAAACCCCAAAAGGTTAGCATGGCCTAGCCTTTACCGCAGACACACAGCCCTACGCAGGACAACTTGGCATGTCACTGTCCACATGTACTTTTAAAAGTGGGCTTTGGGCATTTGCATGCTTAAGCATTTTCCTCTCACAGCGTGAGAAGCTAGTATTAGCGAGAAAAGGGGTGTAAGCATCTCAGTTCTGTCCTGCACCGGCCCAGGACCTACACACAAATTTTGTCAATAGCTTGGACTTGCAGCCTTCTCCTGCCGCTCTGTTCTCAGCGCCTGGGTGCCCTCTGGACCAATACCACTCACACCTCTGAACGAGTCAGTGTCAGCAAAAAACGTGACACAGAGCCTCCAATTTCAGCTTCACTGGATTTCACCTAACTCTGTGGACAGGAGATGTTACGGCATTAACCCCACTGCAACCATGAGCTACAACTTTCCTAAGCTTCTGTGAAAGCTGGTGATTCATGTGCCGAGCACACTGAGACCCAAGTCCTTTCTCAGCCATGAATTTGTCAGAGGTACACGTAGTTCCCTGCAAACAGGAACAGTGTATTACATTTCAAGCTATAATATATGGCAAACCTGATTTCATCCGCTGCACAGTTTAGGTTTCACCCTGTGAATGTTAACACAATATTATGAAAAATACTTTTCATAACCTGCTGCACCGTCACAGTGACAGATGTTGGCAGCACCCAAGCTTAGTGGAACTGCAAGAGTCCTGAATTTAGGCCTGACGTCTATTAGCGAATTGTTTAGCAGAAGCAGGAGAATTATGGCGATGCCGATAAACCAGCTGGCCTCTCGGCTAGAAATCACCATACTCTGGAGCTAACTGGAATTATAAAACAAACCCATGGTAACATATTAAATGAGAATATTTGCCTCATGTATTGAAATTGTTCCAGGATTGAGCAACTGGTAAGTAGGTGTAAGATCAACCTGAAAGCAAGCAATACAACCACAGCAACAGTGTGACCATAACGGATGCAACTGTGACACAGAATGAAGTGATGGAAATGGTTAGACTATGAGAAAAGTATGGAAGGGTATATGATTTAGTAGAGTATAAATGCTGAAGAAAATTAATATGTGAAGTAGGATATAAAAAGCCATATTGAAGGATGGTCCTTCAGAGGTGATTTTATTGGCATGATGATCTTTAACGTTAGGCCATCTCAACAAATTAGCTGGAAGGACTAATGAAAGCTCAGTAAGCCGGCCTTGCATCGTAACTCTGCGGTCTGTCCTTCAACAGAGACGACAACTCGATGTCTGCAGCAACCGTTGACTGTTAACTTATTTCTCTAGTTCTCTCAGCGATAATTCAGACTGCCTGATCGGAGAGGAGGCTGAAGAAGTAATAAATGTCTCTCTGGCCCTATCTAGCCTGGCAAGCCAAGGCAGGGATAAGGTCTACTGACAATTTTGTGAATGTACTAAAAGAGGTTTTGTGGCTCTAGGTAAGTTAACTACAGAAAGCGCAAGGCCAGGAGCTGTTCTGCTGGAAGGAGCAAGTGAAGACGGACTCATCCCTCTAGACACCAGGTACTTACTTTTCCGGCCAGAGCTCATGCTAGATTCCAACTGCTTGAGTTTCATTACCAGCTTCTCTTTATCAGCCTTATGCTCTATTAAATAGCTAAGCAACATGCATGTGTACTGAGTGGCTCTGGAATGGAAAAAATGAGGAAAACGGTACACAGGTGAAACGCGGACAATCTGCAGCAGGGGCAGCGTTTATTTCCGAGCTGAAGGTCACCCCGCTCGCACCCGGGCGGTGCCGGGGTGAGTTATACCCCTCGGGGAAGGGGCACAAGCGCAGGTGGGGCGGCTGAGGGCCGGCAGAGCGGCGAGCGGCGCGGCAGGAGAGGGCCGGGCCGGGGCCGGCCCGGGCGGACCGGGCAGCTCTCCTGCCTGAGGCAGGGGGCCCTAGAGCGGCGGGGGGCTGCGTGAGGGGCCGGCCGAGGGCCCCAACACCCAGAGGGGCGGTGGGGATGCTCCGCCCCACGG